CTAGCCTTGAGCTGAAGAGCTGAGGGACAGCGCCCAGGCCCAGAGTTCAGGCCCCACAACCGGACCCAAAAAAAAAAAAAGTATCCTCGCCCAGGAAGTGATTCCTTTTTTATCTCTCACTCTAAGATATGACAATCTCTAGAAATTAAAGGGTTGGAGTAAATTTCATCCCACTTTCAAGTAAGAGTAAATAGTCAGTATCCCAGTGACATAGTGTGTATCTAGAATGTGCTCCCAACAACCCATATTGGTAAAGGTTTGGTCCCAAGGTGTCACTATTCGGGTGTAGTAGAATCTTTCAGAGCTGACACCTAGTAGAAGGTCTTCAGGTCATTACACAGCATGCCCTGAAGGGTACTGAGGGACCTTATTCCTTCGTCTTCCTTTCTTTTACTTCTTGGCCATTAGGTTAGTTGGTTTGTTCCACCATGTACTCTTTCCATTCCCAAAACAATAGAGCCAATTAAGTCGAGAATTCAAACCTCCCAAACTGTGAACCAAAATAAACTTTCTCTCTTTATAATTTCATTAGCTAGTTATTTATAGTGTCAGGAAGCTGACCAACACAGATATTTAATGGAAAAATTCACACATTTCACTGAAGAAATAGGGATGAGTTTGATTATAAAGTGCTACTTCATTATCCTATTGAAGGTGTTATGTATTACACAGTCAACCACAAACAGTTCTAAACACTTCGCTATGCTCCTACCACAGGTATCTCAAAGTTTTCCAATAAAAGATGGTAGAACTTATATCCATTTTGTATAGATAGTTCTCTCTCTCTTTCTCTCTCTCACAAACACACACACACACACACAAACACACACACACACACCAAATTAATACTGTCTTATTATAGTTTCAGAGTAAGAGGTAGCCTTAATCCTAGCAAGATTTTCTCAAACAAAACTCTAAAACCTTTGCACAATGAAGTACCTTAGCCTATATACTCTGAGATAACTCAGATGCTAATATAAAATCTCCTGTTCTTTTCCAAGTCTACACCTATACTTTTCTTTCAAACATTTTTTTAAAAAGTTACCAAACAAGCTAGACAGATTTCTCTCAGTAGTCATTTGGGCTCCACGAAAGTCAATTTTCAAATTCTGCTCTGAGATTGAAAGGACACTAGAGAACAAGAAACATAGCTTACGCTATCCAGGTAGTTTGCTAAGCGAACCATCTCCTCCCTCACAGCAGTCTGATTTCTTCCCATCATGTCATACTGGAAAAACAAAGGATGAAAATAAACATCTAATCTTTGACAATGAAGATCAAAATCTAAACAGCAACTCTGAAGTGAAAATTGAGGTGTTTAGACCTTTGACATTATTTTAATAACAAATGTAAAAAGACACTTGTTAATGATAAGTAGGAATAAAGAAATAACAGGCACAATAAGAATGAAAATACTATGGAATCTTCGTTTTCTTCAAATGAGTATAATTTAAATGTGTTTCCTTCCTAATGTTCTTTTTTTATTTCTTTTTATGCAAAAATGTTTTCAAGCATTTTATAAGATAATGCTTAGATTATGGAACAAAAGACAATCCAATATATTTCCCAATCCTTTCACTTTTAGACTGACATTACCAATAAACCATTTCTAATCCTTGGGCTAAAATAATAATGAGCAATTAATCACATATCACTATTTTTGTTGTTGTTGTTGGTTGCAGGGCTTGAACTCTGGGCTTGGGCGCTGTCCCTGTGCTCTTCAGCTCAAGGCAAGCGCTGTACCACATGAGCCACAGTGCCACTTCCAGTTTTCTAGTGGTTTATTGGAGATAGAGTCTCACAGCCTTTCCTGTCCGGGCTGGCTTTGAACCATGATCCTCAGATCTCAGCCTCCTGAGTAGTTAGGATTACAGGTGTGAGTCGCCGGTGCCCGGCTCACTAAATAAAAATTTTTATGTGACTGGAAAACATAGATATGTAAAAATTTGATTATATAGCTGGGCACTTGTGGCTCATACCTATAATCCTAGCTACTCAGGAGGCTGAGATCTAAGAGTTGAGGCTCAAAACTAGCCTGGGCAAGAAAGTTCTTAAGACCATTATCTCCAATTTTTAAAAAAGCCAGAAGTAGAGCTATGGCCTCAAGTGGTAGAGTACAAAAGCACAGGATGGCACCCAGGCCCTGAGTTCATGCCTCAGGCCCAGCACAAATACTTATTTATTTTTATTTATATGATATAGATAGATACATAAATATATAGATCAATCGATCACGCCAAATAATTGATTTGACAAGTTCTTTTCTCTGAGACCTGGTTAAATCCAAATACCTACTTTAACTTCATTTTAAAGAACCAACTTATTAATCAAAAGAAAATCTTACATAGAATCTGTAACTCTGTACCATGATAAAGGCCTTAATCTTTTTTTTTTTTTTTTTTGTTCAGTCATGGGGCCTGAACTCTGGGCCTGAGGACTGTCCCTCAGCTCTTCAGCACAAGGCTAGCACTCTACCACTTGAGCCACAGTGTCACTTCCGGCTTTTTCTTTTTGCTTATGTGATGCTGAGGAATCGAACCCAGGGCCTCATGCATGTAAGGAAAGCGCTCTACCACTGAGCACCTTCCCAGCCCCAAAAGGCCTTAATCTTATCAGGTAAGCACCATACTATTATTCTCCTAAGCGAAGGGGGAAAAAAAGGAATAGACAGACTGGACAGAGCTTAATGGAAATGGAAACCTTTCTAATTATGAACCATTTCCTGCATCCTATAACAAATCTATTTGAGAGAACAATAGAGAAAAACAGTTTAATCTTGCTTTTTGTCACTCGTTCAAAACATTCTACAGAAACTTTTCAGCCACTATTTGGGGCAGAGTTCAAACTTCCTATATGTCCCCTGTGATTTTCCTTCTACTACTTGAAGATGACAAACCTATAATGAACGAACTTGAGCACCTTTCTCTCTTAATGAATGGGCCTTGTCATTTCCCTGCCTACACAATAAGAGATTAAAAAAAAAATCATCTGCAGCTTTTACATGAAAAGAGATATCAATCTTAAGTTTCTACAAACAACAAATTTCAAAGTAAAAATCAACCAAAACATTTTATAATAATCCTGTATCTGACTAAAGACACATTACTTCTCTTAGTTAAGTAAAGCACTTTTTCAATTTCTTAAGTAAAAAGAAAGATCTATCATTGTTTTATCCTATGTCTTGAGGTTAATACCACTGTTTGTAAAGTATGCCAGGCCCCAAATGTTTTCTTACATCTTAAAAGTAAAGTACACATTAGCTGAAATTCTATTAACCCAAGCAATTGCATTAGGCAACAGGACAAACCTTGATTGTCTTGGTTTATAGTCACAGCCCAGTAAGTAATGTGAAAAGTTCTCAAGACATTCACCTACAAAGCTTCTCAATAAATCCAGCATAAACGAATCAGAGAATAGGGGGAACTGAGCATGGTGGCAAACAGCTATAATCCCAGAAATTGAAAGGATGATGGTCCAGGCAAAAGTTACCAAGACCTGGGCTGGGAAGGTGGCTCAGTGGTAGAGTGCTTGCCTTGCATGCTCAAAGCCCTGGGTTCGATTCCTCAGCACCACATAAACAAAAAGAAAAAAGCCGGAAGTGGCGCTGTGGCTCAAGTGGTAGAGCGCTAGCCTTGAGCTGAAGAGCTGAGGGACAGTGCCCAGGCCCAGAGTTCAGGCCCCACGACTGGACCCAAAAAAAAAAAAAAAAAAAAAGTTACCAAGACCTGAGCCAGGTGCCAGTTGCTAACGCCTGTAATCCTCAAGAGGCTGAAGTCTGAGGATCCCATTTCAAAGCCATCCCAAGCAGGAGAGTCCACGAAACTCTTACCTCCAATTAACTACTGGAATTGGAGCTGTGGCTTGGGTGACAGAGCAAAAAAGCTCAGGGACAGTATCAAGGCTCTAGATTTAAGGCCCAAAACAGGCACCCCCCCCAAAGTAAAAAAGTTATCAAACCTATCTCAAAAAGAAGGAACACACGACAGAGTAATCCCACCCACTTGAGAGGTATAGGCAGAAAAACTATAGTTCAAAGCTGACCAAGCAAAAGTATGAACCCCTATCTGAAAAATAAACAAAAAGCAAAAAGCCCAGTCATGGCTGGCTCAAGCAGTAAAGGAAACATGAGGTTCTCAGCTCAATCCCAAGCATAATAATGAAAGGGAAAAAAAAAAAGGAAAGAGAGAGAGGTGGGTAGGAGACAGGGACGGACGGAGGGAGGAAGGGAGAGAGAGGAAAAAGGAAGGAAGGGGAAAGGAAAGGAAAAGAGAAAGGGGAAAGGAAAAAGGGAAGGAAAGGAAAGGAAAGAGAAACAAAGTATCACTAAAAAATAAAGTTAAAAGTAGTCTCTTTGCTGGCACCAGTGGCTCACACCTGTAACCCTAGCTACTCAGGAGACTGAGATCTGAAGATCATAGTTCAAAGCCAGCCCAGGCCAGGCAGATAAGTCCATGAGGCTCTTATCTCCAATTAACCACCAAAAAGCCAGAAATGGAGCCATGGCTCAAGTGGTAGAGCACAAACCTTGAGCAAAAAATGCTCAGGGACAACACCCAGACTCTGAGTTAAAGCACCAAGAATAAGAGGGAGGCGGGGAATAATCTTTGCAACATTCAACTTCTGGTGGTATGTTGCCACTAAAGTTTAAACCATGCCAGGTCTGTAATCCCTGCAGCTGGGAGATAGAGATAGGAAAACTGTGAGTTTAAAGCCAGCCTGAAAAATCCTGGTCTCAGAAAATTAAAAGAAAGAAGAAGGAAGGAGCCTTTTTAGTTTTAAATTTTCACTCAAAAAGCAATAGACATTTATCACATTTCAGGTTTCCTTTATAGGAAACTTTTCATGAAAAAGGAGAACAGTCACATTTCCTACCCTTTCCTTGTCTACGACAATGAACAGCTCCACATATCTGGTCTGTGGCAGGACAGCTCTTCTTCTCTGTCAAAACAGTGTGCACATTGTAAGTAAATACACAAATTACATATGTAATGATCAAACCTTAGTCTTTAGCTATGTACTTTCATGTCTCCTAAAAGTAATATTAAATTATTTTACTTCACATAAATAAAGTCAAAGTCAGCAGGGCCTAGTGGCTCTTGCCTATAATCCTAGAAACTCAGGAGGCTGAGATGTGGGATCAAGCTTTGAAGCCAATTCCAGCACAAAAATATGAGACAGTTATCTCCAGATAAAAAAAGTTGGAAGCAAAGCTGTGGCTCAAGTGGTAGAGTACCAGCCTGGAGCAGAATTGCTGTTAAGTTTGTGAAGGCATGAGTCCAAGCAAGCCCCACTACCAGCACAGTAAGATTCCACCTCATCCCAATTAGAATGGCCATCATCAGCAACTCAAACAACAGATGCTGGTGCAGATGTAGGAAAAAAAAGGAACCCTAATACATTGTTGGTAGGAATATAAACTTGTTCAACCTCTCTGGAAAGCAATTTGAAGGTTTAAAAAAAACTACACATAAAACTACCCCATGATCCAGCAATAGCACCAGTGGGCATTTATCCAAAAGATTACAAACTAGGATACAGTAAAGCCACTTGCACTACCATGTTGATTGCTGCACTATCAACATAGCCAAGATATAGAAACATCCTAGCTGTCTTTCAATGGACAAAAGGGAAAAAATATATGTATGTGTGTGTGTGTGTGTACATATATATATAATGGAATTTTACTCATTCATTAGGAAGAATGACATTACATTTTTTGGGGAAAAAATGTGTTGGTGAAGTTAGGCCAAGAGACACAAAGGTGTGTGTTCTCTCTAGTATCTCGAAGCTAGACCTAATTTATAAATGTATTATGTAAACACATACAGGGTTGTATGCAACTGTACACAAGTGCTTTAACCGACATATGGTATTTGCAGGGGAGAGTTCAAATGGTTCAATTCCTTAGAAAAACTAACTCACAGTTCAACAAATTAATACCAGAAAACTGGCACTTCAAAAGTGGAAAGGAGAAGGTCAATGAAGAGAGGAAGAGGGGAGAAAATGAAGTCATAAACCAATGCATATCCAATGAACCTAGAAAAACTGAGGGGAGGGCTGGGTAGAAGGGATGGGAGAGAATAATGAAAGGGATGACATTAAGATGTATTTTACTCATAAACTGATTTGTTGAATGGTAACCCCTATGTACAACTGCTTAAAGATAATAAAATTTTAATTTTGTTTTAAAAAAGAAACTAATCTAGTCCTGGAACAATTTCAACCTAAAAGATCCACAACAAGAATACTCAGGAAGTCCTCAACAAGAGTCATATGTGGCCTTTGGGCAATTAATATCCTAAAGCTAGACCAATCAGTGCCTCTTCCCCCACTCCCAATCCCCCCCCCCCCCCCCCCCCCCGCCATCTTATCTGGAGCTCCATGAACTGGCACTTTCCTTTAAGCAATAGCTATCTAAGTAAAACCTAATGCATTATGATGTAACAATGCTAAATGTAATTTCTGTTTAATATTTAAAAATTTAAACCCCAGTTTCCAAAATTTACAGAATTAAAACAGTCCTCAGGTTTGGTTCCTATCACATTGTCTGATACATAGTCCAAAAAGAAAAAACAAAATTAACTACTGGTTTAATGATAACAAAATGAATGAATGTTACAAACATTAGTCAGAGCCAGGAAAAATGTTATTGTTCCCTTACTCGAAGCAGTTGAGTCATGCTGGGCTGCTCTTCCTCTCCATGGTTTGTGGTCTCCTGTGTATCCTTGTTAGGAACTCCACACTTCAGAGGCTCTTGTTGGACATCATCCATTCGGTAAATCAAGTGCTCAAAGTATAAGCTGTTGTGCAGGGGTTCAATGCCATAACTTGAGTTCCCTAAATGGAGCAATCCTCTGAAGGTGGATATACCATTTTTAAGGGGAAGAAAGGCACAGAAAAAGAATCAGAAAACTTGAATTCAAGTCCTCATATTGCACACATACAAGAAGGCACAGCGGATGAAGAAGAAAAAAGGAGACATTAGAGCCAGGTATATGTGAATTTAAAGCTGACAAGCAGCACTGTCTGCAAGTTACTTAACTCTGAAGTATTGCTGGAATTAAAGGACTAGCTCAGTTTTTCCACTGGCTGAGAAATTCTCAGAAAGTCTTTTTTTTTTTTCTTTTTTGGGGGCGGGGTAAATTGGTGCTAGTACTGGAGCTTGAATTCAAGGCCTTCCACTCTTGCTTGGCTTTTTCATGCAAGGCTGGTACTTTACCACCTGAGTGACACCTCTATTTCCTGCTTTTTTGCTAGTTAAGTAGAGATAATATTCTCGGAGACTTTTTTGTCTACTCTGGCTTTGAACTGTGATCCTGAGATCTCAATCTCCTGAGTAGAAAGGTGTGAGCTATCAGCAAGCACATGGCTCCCAAAAAGTCTTTTAACCCTTGCCTTAGTATACAGTCTACGGAACACTGTTATGACAAATAGCTCATTTAATATGCATAAAATACTTAGCACACTGCATAATACAGATATTCAATCATCTTACAAAGTTATTTATGTATCTTACATAGTTATACATGTGTGTATGTATGTATATATGTATGTATGTATTACAGCCAACTTACATAGTTGGTCTGAGAATTAGAGTAATACTTATAAGTTCAATCAGGTATGCAATCAGCTAACGCACAGTGCTAGATTGTCAGATCTTCAATATAGACAACTTTAAGACTATTACAACATAATTTGCTATTGATACAATTTTTCTGAACCATTTTTTTCTCACAAATATGGTAATATGCTTTCTCAGTCATTATGAGACTTAAGTGAAACAATAAAGATAAAAATTTCATAAACAAAGTGCTATCAAATGTAAACGGTTATTTTATTTTAAATAGCAAAAGTATTTAATGATCTCAAAAGATGGAATTTCCCCTTTACCTACTGAAATTTACTATCAGATTTTCCCAAATAAACATATCAAGAATTTCTGAAGCATCGCTTATAACATCAAACTAAAATTTTGTTAAATATACAAAGTAGCTAGATTTGGAGACTGAGATAGAGGAAGAGTCATAAAATGTAAAGAAAGAAAACAAACAAGACACAGAAAAGTCCTTACCTGAGTCCAGAACAGTCACTCAGAGCAACGGATGAGTTGTAAACTCCCTCCACGTAGCCTCGATAATGACAATGGTTCTGAATGAAAAACACTGCATTATCTTCAAATACTGGGGCATTGTTGAAAACCATGATAATTGCAAAGCTAACAAGAAATAGATGCACAAAAAACTTTCGCTGAGAATACTGTTACCCCATGATAGCACCTGACATTCCTCAGACTATCTGCACACAATCCACCATCACCCAGCAAGTCCATAAATGCTCAGGATTACAGAAGATTCTACATACAAACAGCTCTGCCCTACTGACCTTTCAGAGACAGAACAGGACAGCATTATGTCAGGATTGACATTTTAAATCACTGTCAATCCCAGAGGCCACTGCAGTCAGTAGACAGATGATCTAGAAAAGGACCTTGGAGAGGCTAATAAGGCGCAGAAGGGAGAAGATTCAGCATGAGAAGAGAAAGAACTCTGATCAGATGATTTTCTTTCCTTCCTATGGTTGTATTAATTAAACTACTACTAATTACAAATCCTGCCATTTTCAAAAGCTTAAGAGTCTTCACCCTTAATTTTGAGCAGGAAATTAACCAGTAGAGGTACAAGCATAGAAAGCACTTAGTAGCACCAAACTCTTTAGTAACTAATGAGAATCTCTTCATCTTTAAAACAACTGCAAAGCACTAAAATAGAAAAGTGAGCTTGGTGTGCCAGGTGCTCACACCTGTAAGCCTAGCTACTGAGGAGAGACTGAGATCTGAGGGTTGAGGTTCAAAGCCATTCTGAGCAGAAGTCTGTGAGACTCAAAGCTCTAATTAAGCAGCAAAAAGCCAGAAGTAGAGGTGTGGCTCAAGTGCCAGCCTTGAGCAAAAAAGCTAAAGGATAGCTCCAGGCCCTGTGTTCAAGCCCCAGTACTAGAATTTAATTAGCTAAATAATTATTTAAAAATAGAAAAGTCAAGAAGTGGGAACATTAGCCCCAACAGACACTGAGGCATATACCACGCCTTGATTATCCAAACAGAATGGTATTTGTACAATAAGAGATTAAACAATGGGGCAGAAGAGAAGCCTTGGAGCAGACCAAACTGCATATAGAACTTCACTGTCCCTCAGCTCTTCAGCTCAAGGCAAGTGCTCTACCACTTGAGCCATAGCACCACTTCCTGTTTTCTAAGTGGTTTGTTGGAGATAAGAGTTTCATGGACTTTTCTGCTCCCGCTGGTTTTGGTTTTGAACCGTAATCCTCAGATCTCAGCCTCCTGAGTAGCTAGGATTACAGGCGTGAGCCACCAGCACCTGGTTCATATAGGACCTTTTAATAAATGCTACTTAGATGCAGGGAAACAGTAAAATTGAATCGATATTGAGAAATTCCTCTTTAATGTGGGTAAAGACTTTTTTGCCTATCACTCAAAACTCTAGACATTATGGGGATTATACACCTATAATCTCAGCACTCAGGAGGCTAGAACAGGAAGGTCTTGAGTCTGAGCTATATTGTAAAACCCTGTAGCAAATACACACACATACATATACAGACAAATGAACACCCACACATGCATATGTACAACAACAGAGGAAAAAGAGACTAAAAGACTGATCATTTTACTATATAAAAGTATTTTTAAGATTCTACATAGAAAAAAAACAAAGAAAGGTCAAGACAATTGAGAGATTAGAAGAAAATATTTGTAACTTACATGGTAAAGTTATTATTCCTAAACATAAAGAACTGAGAAATATTGGGAGGAAAAATTAAAATCCTGATAGAAAATTAGAAAGTGAAGATCTGTAAATGCTCCTATATTTATGAAAAGACTTTTCAGTCTCACTCAGAAACAAGAAAGAATCCATGAGTCCATATTGATACAAATAAATAAGGGGAAAGTCTTCCTTTGAGAACAAGGTACCAATGAATATTGAAACAGTGATGAAATCAGAAAACCATCATTTGACAATCAGCACAATAACAACTGTTTCAGGCAAATGTTAAATACAACCAGAAGGGGGGTAAAAGTTTGAGGGTAACAGAACAGTTGTATAGCCTCAAGGTATCTAACCATAACATTAATTTAAAAGATAAAATAAGTTTAAAAAAAAAAACCAACAACTTCATAGAAAAGAAACCCAACTGCCAACTCTTTAACCAAAGAAGAGTGTTGACCCGATCAACTAGCAACAGGCCTCAGGAATGGCACAAGCATATTGATAAATCACACTGAGAACAACTAAGCTGACTGACATCCCAATGGGTGATCCTGTAAACTGCCAATTTGATGGTATTTTTTAATGACTTGATTTTATTAATTATTTCCAGCTTTCAATTTAGTTCTCTTGCACAGTTTCTGCCTGACCAAATCTGCCAAGAAAAACACAATTGCATTTGGTTTTTCTGAAATTTCTGAAATTTCATTAACCACTAAAGACTGAACTCATTTCAGGAAGTCAACACACTGGGAAGACCTGTGTCACACACCACTGCATCTTATTTTCCACTCAGAGATAAACATTCACAAACGACACTGTTCTGTGGGTCAAAGAAACTTTGGCTCTGATCATCCCATATTTCCTCCCTCAGAAATAATTCACTGTTCCCTGACATCTCCCTTTCTTCCTTAAAAAGGATACCTTCAGGGCTGGGAAGGTAGCTCAGTGGTAGAGTGCTTGCCTTCCATAAATGAGGCCCTGGGTTCAATTCCTCAGTACCACATAAGCAGAAAACGCCGGAAGTGGCGCTGTGGCTCAAGTGGTAGAGCGCTAGCCTTGAGCTGAAGAGCTGAGGGACAGTGCCCAGGCCCAGACTTCAAGCCCCACAACTGGCAAAAAAAAAAAAAGGGTGGGGAGGGATACCTTCAGTTTTAAAAGTGTTGGGCTACTGTAATCAATGTCTGTACTTTCCTCCATGCTGTTACTTTTCCCTTTTGCACATTAGTAAATTTGTATCCCTTTCTCCTACTTAATCTTTGTCAATGTAGCCTAACAAACCTTTTCACAGTTCTCAAAAACACAACAAATCCTATTTTGTATGTTTATAAAACATCTAATTAAATTGCATGATTACAATAAAGAACAGCTAGCACACACAGTTTGAACCACACACATTGTAAGTGAAAAGCTTTGGCTAGTAGTGTAAGACAAGGAATGTAAAACTTTTACACATCAGCCTAGCAGCCACAGGTCTCTAGGGAGTGTAGACAACCAATATAGCCTAAAAGGAAACGGAAAGCACCAATTTACTGAAGTATATAGCTAAGAGAATCTCTAACACATTTGCCAGATATCCCAAAGTAAATCTAGACTTTTAATCACTGATTTTTTGTAAAACTGTGTCTTATAAAAAGTGGTCTTGCGAAAGCCACTTATGATGAAAGTATAAAAAACAAGTGTATAAATACTTCAACCTCAAGAAACTAGACCTAAGGGAAACCATTTAAATGTTCTATATAAATTAATTCCTTTACATGGACAAAAGTTCCTATCATTGTAATATCTAATCTTAATCATGCCAAGAAATACCAGGATCAAAGCTTTACTCTGTAGTTGAGGTCTGCAATCCCTCTTGACCTATCTAGACAATATTAAATAACCAAGAAATAAGTGAAGCACTTCCTGAGTCTTAGTTGCTATTTTTCAAGTATTCAGAAACCATAACAATTCTATAAAACTTCAAGATTAAGTTATATAACTTTCTACATAACTGAAATCTCTTTGAACAATTTTACCTAGTCTTTCAATAGCAACAAATAATTAAATTTTAATTAAAACCTGCCAGGCAACCTCATCCAGGCATCCAACAAGTATTAGCTTATTTAAACTTTTCAATAACCCCACAAAATAGTAATACTCCTTTTTAAATATAACTTCACCAGCCAGGACTCAAGCTCAAATAGGGTATATATCAAAAGGCATGCCAAGAAATCTCTGCAAGGGAAAAAAAAAATGGTGTTCAAGAACTTTGCTTCAGGGACATAAATTATGTTGTCCTTGGATGTCAGCCATGGGAATCTTTGGGTACATGAAAAGATGGATGGATTGCTTTTTTCTGGTTTATGTTACAATGTAAGTTTAATCTCCTCTACTAATTTCCCACTAAACAAGAGATAAACAGAGCACTAAGATAAAGGAATCAGATACAGGACTAGAAAACAGGAAGGCAAGGTCAACTTTTCCACATTTTAAAAAACCTAATAATCCAAAATAAAGATTTTTAACTTCTATTTATTTGAAAAAACCTACAAACACGAATAGCTAATATAAATAATTCAACCTAGCAAAAGCACTTACAAAGTTAGAGAGGGGGAAAAAAATCACACATTTAATGTCATTTTTTTCTATTTCTATTGCAAAAGAAAATAAATGCATAATACCTAACTGTCAAAAAGAACTGTATGAAACACTCTTCCTGAATGAAACTAGAAACGCTTAAAAGATTCCCAGTTGTTTACACAAAGCCAAGTTCAGCATCTGCCAATTATTTCGAGTATTCTGGACCAGTTCTGTCCCTGAGAGCATTCTGTCACCTGACGGAGAGAGGACAGGACCACACCTCTTTAGGAAAGAATTACTACAACAAAACATTAGAACATTAGTTTACATAACAGCAAACAAGTGTGTGCCTTGTTGCAGTGACAAAGTAACGGTTTGATAAAGAAGTATGAAGTACTTTCAGGGATATTAACTTTCAACCAAAAAATTAAAAATTCCTCTTTTCAGACAGATCAAACCAGCACAGAGTATCATTAGAAAGATTATTTTCCTGGCCTTTTAAAAACAAATTTTTACAACTAAGCAGCTGAAGAGCTTTCTGGTATTGTAGTTTAGTCTGTGTAAATGCACCCACCTCCCCGAGGTCCGCTCCGATATACTCAACATCAAAGGCATCTCTGGGTTTATGTAATGTAATAGTCTTCAATGCCTGACTAGAATTCACCTTAAAATTAGAAGTTTTAAGTTTTGCTGAGAGATCAAGGGGAAAATATATTACCTGAACATTGGGATGGTCAGAGATGAGAGTGCCTTCCTCATTGTAGGTATAAACTACAAAATCTTTAGGCAAAAGGTCTCTGGAAGGGGAATAAAACATGTCACTTAAATTTATTTTAAATATCAGCAGCAATGACATAATTCATAAGACACTACTCCCCAAAAGAGAGGAGCAGAAATAAGTAAACTTTTATTCAAAGAATAAAAACTTTTTTGTGTGCCTCAGGGCCTTGTACTCTCACTTGGCTTTTTCCAATCAAGCAAGACTTGAGACACAACTCCACTTATGGCTTTTTGCTAGATAAGATTCTCACACACTTTCCAGCCTGGGCTTGCTTTGAGCCTCGAACCTCAGATCACAGCCTCCTGAGTAGCTGGGATTTATGTGTAAAACACCAGCAACTTGCTTAAAAATCAATTTCTATGGGTTGGAGATTTCAACGGATGAGCATTTGCCTGTCAAGTGCAAGGCCCTGAGTTTGGTCCTCAGCTCTGGGGGGGGGGGGGGAACTAAATTTTTATTAAAAGCATCTGCTACCATAAAACTAAAAGCTCTAAAGTAGTCTATATTACTTACTCGTGAGTAAGTGATTTGTTGTAAAGGCATAAAATGCTGGTTGCTTAGATTTATTTTCTGATACAACTTACAGAAAAATAAATTAGGTTATTGACAGTACATAACATTGATAGAGAAGAAAAATACAGACCTATATATATGCCCTTTTCTAAAAGTGCAATAAAAACAAGAAACATCTGCCTCCTAAGTATAAAGAAGATGTTATGGCCAGCTTTTAGAGGACACAATGATTCTAGATTCCTTGTTAAGGGGACTCAGCAGTGTATAGCACACATGTAGTGATGGGCTTCTTTCCCAACAAGACTAGGCAACTCAGCCAGGAACTCCTCCTACTCAGGAGGCTGAGATCTGAGAATCATGGTTCAAAGCCAACCCAGGCAGGAAAGTCCATGAAACTCTTATCTCCAAAAAATCTTATCTCTGAAAAAGCTGGAAGTGGTGCTGTGGCTCAAGTGGTAGAGTGCTAACCTTAAACACAAAGATACTCGGGGACAAGCCTCAGGACTGGAAAAAAAAAAAAAAAAAGGATTGGACTATTCCATGTTTACTTTCAGACCTGTGAACAAATCAAGGACATAATGTGCTCACTGGTTTATAATGTGCCACTAAGAGTCCAGAAGTCCCAAAGAAACACCCAGGACCAACCTGTCCATACTGTTTAAAGATGGGCATACTGATGGTTTTCATCCAGTTTCATGGATTACACAGCCCAACTTAACCTCATGAACAGCAGGGCATAAACGACATCAGTAAAACTGTGCTTAGGCACCACTGAAAATATGATGCCACTCACACTTATCGAAGACCAGGCACTGGTAGCTAACCTATGTAATCCTAGCTATCCAGAAGGCTGGGTCTGAGAAGAGAGGCTGTATCTGAGAATAGAGGCTCAAAGACAGCCCAGGCATGAAAGTTGGTGAGACTTTTATCTCCAATTAACCACCAAAATGCCAGAAGTAGAGATGGTGTTCAACTGGTAGAGATCTGGCCTTGAGCAAAATACCAAGCAAGAGCACTATATAATATTATGAGTTCAAGCCCCAGTACTAACACACACAAAAAAGCTGGTAGCCTGAAAGCAAAGCGGTACATGAAACTAGGAAAGGACCCACAAGCTGTGCATGGCAATTTTCCAACTCTCCAATAACTCCTTTACTCTCTGCCCCAAGTACCATATCCATTACCTTGTGCCCTTTCACTACGTTGACCCTGTCCAGCACTACAGTCTCCCTCCTCCTCCATTCACACACACACACACTGCTGCTGCTGCTGCTTCTATTAGTGAATCTGAGCAGAATAACCAAGATATGTTATGCTTGCTTTCCCTCCACTCTGATTCCTCTTGGAAGTCACTGTCTGCCCTTGCAGAGCACAGATCCAAGGACCTTCTGGAAGCAGATCTGCACTGTGCAGCAGTGATGTGAATGGTGAGGTTCACAATGCACTATTTCTACCTAGAAAATGAAATGAATATACTCTTGAAAAACAACAGTATTGAAAAGCCAAAGTAAATGAAATATCTTACGTGTTCCTTTCCAAGTGAATAATGTGCTCTTTTCCTTGAGCCTGAATGACATAAGATACCTAAATGCACAGAGAAGGGAAAAGAAGAATAAAACACCACCTTATGAATTACTTTTCAACAACATGTGATTTATTAGATGCAGGAATAACCTTGAATAACTTGGTGTTGACTGAAATTATTTATATAACGTTTTATCTTTTTTTTTTCAGTACTGGGGTTTGAACTCGGGGCCCTGAGCTTGCTAGGCAGAAGCTCTATTGTAGTGGTTAATTTTGAAAGATAGTCTTGTTTGTACCTAGGCACATACCTGAGAACATTATCTGTCTATTTGATTGCCCATCATGATTGGAATCAGTCATGACTACCATGCCCAGAATCTTCCACTGAGGTGGTACCTTACTAGCTTTTCTGCTCAGCTTGGCCTGCTCTCAGCTTCCCAGGCTAGGGTGACAGGTGTATGTCACTCTGCCCAGCTATTGACTAAGAAGAGGTCTCACAAACATTTCTGCCAGGGTGGCCACAAATTGAGGTCCTCCCAGTTTTAGCCTCCTCCTGATCACAAATGTGAGCCAGCAGTGCCTGGCATGCACTTTTTCTACTAATTTTTTATGTTTTATTGTTATTATAAAGATGATATACAGAAGAGGTATATGTCTGGTGTATTCTTAAAAAAATAAAAACATATTCTGTTCATTCCTAACTCTTTTCTTAAATTATGGGAAACTACCTGCATGTTCACCTAAATCCTTCTTAAATTCATATATAATTTAGGTGCAGCTTTAGTGACTTTTATGCCTATCTATAGTATAAAGTAGTTTTCCTTTTATTTAATTTAAATTAAATTAATCTCAGTTTCAAGAGACTACCCCAAATTCTAAGTAGAGAAAACATTCATATAGTTTTTGTGGCTTTATATCGCTATATGGTTTACCTTATTTCATCAATTCTAAACTATACCTGTCCCCTCATGCAAGCATTTCTGGGATGAGGGTACATCTTACACAGACAAGACAAGCTACCAATAGCACTTTTGCTTCCTTATTAATGGTCCATAAAGTGTCTTAAAATTGAAGTCATCACTGCTAGTTCATGTCTGAATTCCTAGCTTTCAAAAGACTAAGATCTGAGGACCAAAGTTCAAAGCCAGCCCAGGCAGGAAGTCTAGGAGACTCTTATCTCCAGTTCATCACAGCAAGCCGGAAGTGGAGCTATGACTCAGGTGTTAGAGCATTAGCCTTGAGCAGAAAAGCTCAGGGACAATGTACAGGCCCCAAGTTCAAGCCCCAGTACCAGCACTAAAAAAAAAAATTTTGAAGACATCTATTTTACTCATACCCTAATTTCTTTTTTTTTAATTGTGAAAATACTGTACAGAGGGGTTACAATTACATGGGCAAGATAGTGAGTACATTTCTTATCAAGCATTGTAGCCTCCTCCTTTGTTTCCCCTTCCCATCCTCCCCCCACCCCCCATCCTGACCCAGTCTGGCTCCCCCTATCCCCCACCAAAGTTGTAAAGTTCGTTTTCGACATAACTACTTGTACATTTCATTGTTACAATGGGTCCACCTGTATCCCTATTTAAACAACTTGTTTTTTCCCTTCCCCTCCACAAATTATACCAACATCAAATACAGTGAAAGCAGGGGTTGTATCATGGGGGAGGGACATAAAAGAAATAATCTTATAAATGTGTTAGAAACAATCACATGAAAGAAAAAAAAACATTTGAATACATATCTTAGGATTCATTTCCTTAACATCACCTTATCTGACCTTTTCTGCTTGACTCATACATATACTAGATATTGCAAATAAGAGAAACCATGGGACCTATTGTTCTTTGGGCTTGGCTTACTTCACTTAATATAATTTTTTCCAAGTCTTTCCATTTCCTAACAAATGGGGCAATGTCATTCTTTCTGATGGAGGCATAGAATTCCATTGTATATATATACCACATTTCTTGATCCATTCATCTACTGAGGAGCATCTGGGTTGATTCCATATCATAGCTATAGTAAATAATGCTGCAATAAACATAGTCGTGCTGGTAGCTTTAGTGTGGTCTTGTTTGTTTGTGAACATTTGGGTAAATGCCCAAAAGTGAGATTGCTGGGTCATAGGGGAGCTCTATGTGGAGTCTTTTGAGGAACCTCCATACTGCTTTCCAAAGTGGTTGAACAAGTTTACATTCCCACCAACAATGCAGGAAGGTTCCCTTCTGTCCACATCCCCTCCAGCATCTGTTGTTATTAGAGTTCTTGATTATAGCCATTCTAACTGGGGTGAGGTAGTATCTCAATGTTGTTTTGATTTGCATTTCTTTTATGGCTAGGGAGGTTGAACATTTCTTGATGTGTCTATTGGCCATCCTTCTTGGCCATCTTGAGAGAAATTTCTCTTTAAGTCTTTAGCCCACTTATTTTTTGGGCAGTTGTTTCTTTGAAGATTTGTTGTTGGGGAATTTAATTTTTTGAGTTCCAGGTATATTTTAGATATAAGACCCTTGTCCATTGTATGGCTAGTGAAGATCTTCTCCCAATCCGTGGACTTTCTATTGATCTTGCTAGCTATGTGCTTTGCCATGCAGAAGCTCTGCAACTTCATGCAATCCCATTTGTCCAACCTTTCTTTGATTTGTTGTGTTTCTGGGTCTCTATTAAGAAAATTTCGGCCTGTGCCAAGGAGACCTATGATTTCTCCTATTCCATCCTGTAATTCATATCCTAATTTCTAGAATTGAAACCCCTTTGTACAACTACTCAATAAAAATAAATAACTGTAATAATATATAAATATGTGCGTAGATATATATGCATATATATACATATATGCATTTTAGAGACAATGAATTTAAAATAAGGTAACCTGTCTGGCATCCACAGCTCATACCTATAACCCTAGCTGTTCAGGATGCTGAAATCAGAAGATCATGGTTCAAAGTCAGCCCAGGCAGGAAAAGTCTACAAGCTTCCATCTCCAAAACAACCAGCACAAAGCTGGCTAGAGGTATGGCTCAACTGTTAAACCACCAGCAGAAAAAGTCAAGTAAGAGCACAAGGCCCAGAGTTCAAGCCAGGTACCAGCAGAATAAATAAAATAATAATAACAAAAAAACAACAACAATAATAATAATCACATCTTCACGTTTACAGGGCCCCTTCTCTGGGACATCTCTGAAACAACTTCCCCAGTACTGCAGTTGGATCTTGGATATTACTGAAAGGCCCAGGCTTGAAGGCTTGGCCCCAAGGGGAACACTACTGAGAGGTGTTATGGACTTTTAAGGGGCGGAATCTGGGGGATAATTCTTAGGTCACTGGATAAGCACTTGAAGGGGATTATAGGACTCTGCCCTTTCCTGTTTCTCCTAGCTCCTCAAAGAGGTGAGCAATTTTACATTCCCACCAAAATGTGCTGTCTCACCCAAAACCACAGGGCCAATTGATAATGGACTAGAATCTCAATCTTGATCTAAAATAATCCTTTTCTCTTTATAAATCAATTCTCTCAGTGATGAAAAGCTGACTACCACCCAGCAAGTCCCACTTCATTAGTAGGAAGTGCATACTGTCTCTAGAACCAGGAGATTCAACTTTGCCTTTACCCTTTAATAAAAAGGAAGGCAAAGAGATACTTAACAAATAATACTCTCAGAAACATCTACTTAATTGTCCCTAAGATTTCTAGACTCTTTAAGTTAAAAATGTTGGATCCGCCTCTCCAAGTGCATGTGACCAATTCTAAAAATCTTGGTACTTTATCTCCACACCCTGAATGAGAATGAGAACTCTGTTATCTACCTTAGGCTTTAATGACTCATCCAAAATCCCAAGCTCCTTCCAGGAACTTGGATTTTTAACATATCTTCCCTAACCCACCTTACACTTCAGTAGGTCACAGGTTGTATCTTTTATTTATTTTTTGTCAATTGTGGAGCCTGAACTCTGTGCCTGGGCACTGTCCCTCAGCTCTTCAGCTCAAGGCTAGCGCCATACCACTTGAGCCACAGCACCACTTCCAGCTTTTTCTGCTTATGTGGTGCTGAGGAATGGAACTCAGGGCCTCATGCATGCAAGGCAAGCACTGTACCACTGAGCCACCTTCCCAGTCCAGGTCACAGGTTGTGAAAACACCAAGGCCACCTTCTCTGAGAACTATGAGAGAATTAGAATTGTTCTATGGTACTATATTCAGCCTCCAAATACCTACATGCATTCCTGACTCTCTTCCTCTGTAACTAGCTTTCCCATCACTATGACAAAAATGCCTAAGAGAATACTTAAGGAGGAAATGTTTCTTTGGCTCAAGATTTCAGGAGTCACTAGGTTGTCTGGTTGTAAAGTCTACGGTAAGGCAGAATATTATGGTAGGTTCCAATATGCCCTCGGGAGCAACCCACAAAGACCTAACTTCCTTTCACTAGCATCACAACCAAGCCTTTAACACAGAGGCCTTGAAGAAACATTCATGATGTAAACTACAACATCCCTCTCTGGTCTTTATTCCAAGGTCACCTTCTCAGTAAGGCATTATCTAGCCAATCTATTAAACAGTGCAATCCTCACCCTTTCTACCACTTCCTCCTTTAATTTTCTCCTTGGTAATTAGTGCTATCTTAAGTAATATGCATCATTTGTCTGCTGTCTCTCCCATTACTAGACTGAAAGTTCCATAAAGGCAAGGATTTTTGTTTGTTCGGTTCACTACCATAACCTCAATGCCTAAATATATATATATATATGTATATATATATATATATATATATATGTATGTATGTATATATATATGTATGTATGAATATATATATACACATATACTATATATACACACATTTATTTATATAGATTATGCCTATTCTATATATGGTAGATCTTCTAAAATATTTTTCAATGAATAAATTATACTCATATGTTAAGTGAACAAAATATAGCTCAATATATCACTTCTCCAAATGTTTATCAAAGGCTAAATGATTTGTTATTATCACAAGAATCTATGTGTACCATATTGATAAAAATACAATCAGGGACACAATAAAGTAGAAAACACAGTCCCAGTGCTAAAAAGTCTACCATTTTATGGAGGAAAGGAGAAAATTGATGAAGCAAAGCAAGATTTAATTCTATTCTGAGGCAAAATATAATCTAGTGCAAAAGCAAGGAAAAATTACAAATGTTCCTACTTAAGCCAATATTAAAGCCCTTTATTCCTCATTACAAGACAGTCAATGTAGCTGACTTATCAACCCAGTAAGTGGCTGTACCCAGGGGAAGGACTAAAGTTAGAAGCACCTGATTCTAACCTCCAATGCTGCTTTCTCTTTGCCCAGGCTCTAAACAACCAGCAAGTTGCTTTAGTGCTGTGGGTATAACAGCAATGCAAAGGTAATACACTAAATGTTATCTTTTATCTGTTATTGTAAAATTACAATGACATTAATGATTCTCCTAAACAACTGTAAGTTCTGTAAATTGAACTAAATGTATTATTTTGAAACAAACAAAACAATCGGAGGAAACAGGACTGGAGACCATGGCTCAGGTAATAGAGAATTTGCTTAGCAGAGCAAGATGGTAAGTCAGACCTTTAGAACTATCAAAAAAAAAATTATAAAGAGAACAGACAGCCAAAAAAGTAATTTTATGTATTGGCTAACACGTATTGGTTAATTATGTATTCCTATTAACAACACAGGAAGCTTCTTCTAATATGGAAATCAAGCTCATGTTAAATATTCGCAGATAGGTAATATAGGCATTAACATTTTACCGTTCTCTAGTATCCATGAAGATGGAAAATAAAATCTTGTATTGTAAACTGAGTGAAGCTCATTCTTTTTGGATGGGAGTATTTCAATCAATATGTAGCCCAGGCTGGCCTCAAATTCCTATGCTTATGTGACCACTGTCAGTCAGCCAAAGATTCAAAATCTGTTCTATTTATTTCACTGTTGTGCTTTGAATTAATCATTTTGTCTTTAAAAAGAAAGATACTAAGGCTTAATATGTCACTTTTTACCAGAATAACATCCAATGGACATGAGTACCATATGGACATGTATACACTAATTACCAATTAATTATTTGATGAACCAATCACAGTTAAAAATATCACTTTGGTTAAGAAAAGAAACAAAGGAAAAATTTAATACATACATAATTCTCAGGAGAGAACATACCTGCTTTGAATTGAGCCTTGGGGTTTCTCTTCTTTCTCTAGTTAATCTCCAAGGAGTTATAATTTCATAAGAAGAGAGATGTGAGGTCTGTTGAAAGCCTACAGCAAAGAGAGTAATAGATATGATAAACAAAGTGAACCTGAAAAACTACATGGTACCAAAACATAATGGAAATCAGAACCTGAATGTTCACTGAAAAAGGAAATCATTTGACATTCCCATATTAAAATATATATACAACACAAATAGTTCTGCATTAAAATAACAATATCCTAGGTAAGTATGCAGAGGAAAAATATTTTCTTTTTTAAAAAATCAACATTTATCTAAACTATGCACCTAGCAATTATTTTTCAAACATTTTTGACTTCATGTCCTAGCCCTTTTCTTAAATTTAAAAAAGAAAAAAAAAAAGACTGGAGTGAAACAGAATCTATGTTGTTCTGATTTGCAATTTCTTTATAGCTGGGGATGTTGAGCATTTCTTCATGTATTTGTTAGCCACTTTTACTTCTTGTCCTGAGAAATATCTACTTACCTCCTCTCCCTATTTATTAGTAGGGTGACTGAATTCTTTGGGAGTTTAGTTATTTGAGGTCCTTGTATATTCTAGTTACTAGGCCCTTGTCAGACACATACTTGGCAAAGATCACCCATTCTGTAAACTGTCTTTTTACCTTTGCACCCTTTGTGCAGAATCTTTTTAGCTTAATGCAATCTCATTTGTTAGTTTTCTCACCTATTTGCTGAGCGCCTGGAATTCTACTCAGCAAGTTCCTGCCTGCAATAAGTTCTAGTGTTTCCCTTACTTCTTCCTATAGTGGCCAGCATCAAGAATACAAACAGCCAGGCACCTGTGGTTCACGCTTGTAATCCTCACTACTCAGATCTGAGGATTGCAGTTCAAAGCCAGCCCAGGCAGGAAAGTCTGTGAGACTCTTATCTCCAATAAACTACTTAAAAAGCCCAAAGTGGGACTTTGGCTCAAGGGGTAGAGCACTTGCCTTGAGCAAAAGAAGCTCAGAGACGGTGCCAAGGCCAAGTTCAAGCCCCAAGACTGTCAAAAAAAAAAAAGAAGAAGAAGAAGAAGAATACAAACAACTATGCTGGTGAGGATGTAGGAAAGAAGACATCAATAATACAATATTGGTATGAATGTAAATTAGTGAACTACTATGGAGGGCAGTTTGGAGATTCCTCAGAAAACTAAACATAGAACTAACCTATGATCTGGTGATACTATTCTTGGACATTTACACAAAAGATTACAAGTCAGGACACAATAAAGCAATTGAACGCCCATGTTCACTGCCACACTAGTCACCATAGTCCAGATGCCCTGAAACAAACAAATGATCAAGAAAATATGATAGATAGATAGATAGATAGATAGATAGATAGATAGATAGATAGATAGATAGATAGATAGATAGATAGATGATAGATAGAGATTTTACTCATTTAATAGAGAAAATAATACTATGTCATTTGCAGGGAAATGGACAGACCTGGAAAAAATTATTCTGAGTGAAGTCAGGCTCACAGAGACATATGTGGAAGTGAGAACTAAAATACAAATATATAAATATAAGCCAATGAATATATACAGGATCAAAGTGACTAAAGTATAGTATACACAGGGATGGATTCCATGGTGTGAACTCTCTGAACAATTAACAGTTTATCAAAATGAATACCAAGAAGCTGAAACATGCCTTGACTGGAAAGCAGTAAGGCTGGAGGAGGGAAAGACTAGTAGAGAGGAAAGCTGAGTAAATATAGTCATAATACTCTATGTACAAGAAAATAAAACCAGGTAACTTGAGGGGATGAGTGGGGTTGGGACACATTGGGGAGGGGTGGAATGATCAAGATTGTGGTGCTAAATTGACATATTGAGTTGAAATCACTTTGCACAACTATTTACAGATAATACAAATGAATTTAAGCCAGGCTCACACCTGTTATCCTAGCTACTCAAGAGATCTGAGGATCCTGGTTTGAATGTCAATCAGGTAGGAAAGTCCATTGGGACGTTTATATTCAATTAAGCACCAAAAAGCCAGGAGTGGAGCTATGAGTAAAGCATCAGTCTTAAGCAAAAAAGCTCAGGGACAGTGCCCAGGCCCTGAGTTCAAGGGGCAATACTGGCACAAATTAATTAATTACTTTTTTTAAAGAAAGAAATCTTAAGATATAAGAACATAATAAAAGAAGAGAGAAAGAAAAAGGAGGAAGAGAAAGGGAAGATGGAAGATGAGGAAGAGAAAAAGGGAGTTGAGGAAAGAAGGGAAAAGAGGAGGAAGAAGACAAAGAGAAGAGGTAAAGAAGGGGAAAGAGGGAGAAAGGGAGGAAGAAGGAAGATGGAGGAAAGGAGACTGCTTGGTGAGGTGTCAGGGAAACGGGCTAGAGTTTAGCACTCATTTCCCACCATAAGCAGCATTAATGACCTCTACTGAGATGGCACTAGTATACACTAAATGAGTAGAGGCAAAAGCTGCTTTTCACATCTGATGGGCTAACTAATAATAAAGTATAACAATAAGTAGACAAAACAATGCAGCAAATGCTTCACATGAAATGCATTCAAAGCAGTCTTACTCCCAGTTCCAACCCTGTTCCATATCAAGCAGGATATAGATTCCAAAGTCACCACCCTAAAACCTGGTTATTCTCAGTTTTTGTCAACATAAATCCCCAGGAAGATAAACAAATTGGAGTCCAGAACATGTTCACTCTGTAAGTCTGACAATCTCTCTTTCTTCCAACACCATCACCAATGGCATAACAATTCTTTTTGTTGTTTTGTTTTGCTTAGACAAGATCTGACTATACAATCCCAACTCACAATCCTGCTTCTACCTCCCAGGTGCTGGTATTACTATAGGAATGCACCACCACACGTGGCAGCCACTCAAAACAATTCTTTCAACAAAATAGATAGATAGTCACCTTCTAAGGACCACTTAGCCACACTCAGTATGAGGAATGGCAAGGAGGCTCTTAAACTCTCACTCTCTGCCTATCATAGTTTGCTCCTCTTTCCCTTTTTTTATTTTTTTGTTCCAAACTGCGATTGGGTATCTAACACTTGCTTTAGCTCACTGGCTGGTGCTCCACCACATGAACCATGCCTCTAGCCCCCTCTTTCCCTCTTTTAATTCTCACTACTCTGTCCTGTTTTCCTAAATAAATTTTGCTAAATTAAAAAAAAAAGACAAATACAAACTGAAAGGCTAAGAGACACTCAGTTTCTTTTACAAATCACTATTACTTAACTCACCTTATAAGAAAATGAAGGATATGGACCTATTTGGAGCCATTAAAACACCTCAACTAAGGAAAAAATGAAAAAGAAAATCCTGGGATAATCAAGGAAATTTTGACATTGAGTAGCTATTCCATGTTGCTGAATAATTATTGTTAATTGTTTAAGTGTAATAAACCCATTGTGGTAAGGTTTTCCATCCAGTCTATAAGATTAATTCTGAATATTCAAAGACAAAAATAATACAGTCTAAAAATATTAAAATAATCGTTTGTTTAATAATATATATAAAATAAGGAAAACTGAAATGAGTACATAGAAGTTCATTACTTTTTTTCTTTCATTACTTTTTTTCTTTCTTTTGTATGTTTCACAACTTCTCCAATAATTGTTTTTAATTGGATGAGGGAAAAAATTACTTTTTACTTTATATTGCCCTACATCACAGTTATGAAATACAATTCTATAACATAAAATATGACTATAAAATATATCAAATAAAAAGATAGGTAACATAAATAAATGCAATAAATTGTTAAGAACAGTTACCAGGATGGATTACCGGAAGGAATAAGGAAAGCCATCTACTTCCACTTCTGTACTTTTATACTGTTCAATATAATAAGTGCATCATTTGCCATTCTTGAATTATTTTTGAAATTAAGAGTGATGAAAATGTATCAATAAAAAATACAATCTTTAAAAAAAAAACTGTTATACATCTTTGTAACTGATTTTCTCTTCCAAAATGTCCATTCACCTTTTTGTACATACCCAAGAGGCCCTATGCTACTGAATCACACACCCAGCCCTTAATAACCTCATGTCTAGACTACTAGGATACTTTTTCACTTGTTCTCCTTCTAACTGTTTGTTTTTCACTCATTAATTTGCTTATGTCTCCTAGCATTTTTCAAACACATTTTAAGATAAAATATTTACATAGAACTTTTCCCACGATAACTATGTATATTAAAATGTATACAATCATATCTAGCTTGTAATTTTAAAGATACAAATGGGCTGGGCACCAGTGAATCACACCTTTATAATCCTAGGTACTCAGAAAATGGAGATCTGAGGATCACAAGTCAAAGCCAGCCCAAGTAGGAAAGTCTGTAGGACTCTTATCTTCATTTAACCACAAAAAACCAGAAGCAGAGCTGTGACTCAAGTGGGAGAGTGTTGAGCTTTAAAAAAGCTCAGGGACAGCACCCAGGCCCAGAGTTCAAGTCCCAGGAGAGATATGTGCGTGCACACATGCACACACACACATGCACGCACGCACACACACACATACACACAGGAAAACATAAATTATATCCAGTAAAAATCATCTTAACAACTTTCAACTCTATCCTTCAACAACTCATGTATATTATACTGTGGTTTCACATTCTTACATTAAAAAATTAAGTCAAACACCAATAGCTCACACCTGTAATCTTAGCTAGTCAGGAGGCTTAGATCTAAAGGACTGAAGTTCCAAGCCAGTCTGGGCAGAAAAGTCTGTAAGCCAGAATGGAGATATGGCTCAAGGCATAAAATGCCAGACATGAACAAGCAAAACTAGCAAACTTAAGGCCCTAAATTCAAGCCCCAGTACCAAAAAAAAAAAATTTAAAAATTAGAAATGGACTCTAAGACGCACACACACATGCACACACACATGCACACGCACGCACGCACCAACCTCATAACTGATACAAAGGCAAATTTATGGTATACCATGATCAGATATCATCCAGATATTTGTCAGTGGGAACCATGTCAAAACAAATCTTAATAAATACCAAAATCACTATTAAGAATTACTAATCCTAACCCCTC